CCTTGCGGTTTTTAAAAGTTGTATCAAAACCCCCCCCCCCCCCCCAATCTGGTCTTCTCCAAACTAAACAGTTCTAGTTCTTTCAGACTTTTTCCATATGTCTTGCTTCCCAGGCCGCTAGTAATTTTTGTTGGTCTCTGACAGACTCTTTGCAGTCTGTCCACATCCTTCTTGATGTGTGGGGCATGATACTACAGATGAGGCCTCACCAATGCCAAATAGAGTGGAAGAATCACTTCCCTGGTTCCTGTTAATACAACCCAGGATCCCATTGGCTTCTTTTTGCAACAAGAGCAAATCTGTTGATTTTTCAGAGCCCTGTGATATGATAAAGTATGGCTAATACTCAGCTCTCCTACAGCCTGAGTCTGTTTTCCTCAAATACTGGAGTCCCTATGACTAGATTTGCACCCTCTCTAGATAAATACAGTGATTTGCAGTCTAGTTATCACCTTCTCCTGCAGGCCTATTTGTGCATAGTTTCACCAAAGCAGCAGTGTTTCCATCCCCAGTGCCTCCTCTCCTAGGCTAATTAGAGGATTTCACTGTGGCCTCTCTGTTGACAGCAATAAATTTGGGCTCTCCCTTCTGCTTACATCTTCAGGAAAGATAGAAAGCTCTGACTCAAAAGGTTCCTCAAGTCTTTGTAATTTACCACTGCTGTACGATCAAGTCATGAATAAATCTTCAAAAGGCCAGGCAGTATTCAGAGCCCACGTGCCTGAAGCTTCAAAGGAACGTGTGCCAGCTGGAGAGGAAATCCTAGCCATGCAAGGAGTCCCTCCATTCCTGAGCAGTGTATGTGCAAAAGTGCCTGGCACAAGGACTCTCCCTCCCCACATTCTCCAGCAGCTTTGTTTTCTAGATCCTGAACTCCTACCCAGCCCAGCAACCTGGGGCTTTAAATGCATTTTGACAAACGTCCAGCTGTAGTCCCTTATCATCCAGAACAACAGGGAGCTTCTCAGCTGACAGGTTTGCCTGGGAGCATGTGACAGCAGCAGACACAGGTGCAAAAAGCTGGCAGGTTTGTGTTATGGCTTGAAATCCTGACTGTAGTAGAATGTAGGAGCAATGAGTTCCTTTTGTTATTGCTGAGAGCCAGGGTTGCTAACTGTCCAAAAATCTGTGGACATTCTTTAAAAGCTAGGTTTAAAAAGAGCCCTTCTTTAAAATCTATAAGAAAAAGTAGCCATCTGTAAAACCAGGAAGCCACTGGAGTTTCAGTCAAGCTCATGTTCAAAAACAAGCTGGAAGCAAGTGTTGAAGCAGCGCCACCTAGGATCGCCGCAGGGGCACAGCACCTTGAAGGGAGCTCTTTTTAGGGATTTGTGGCTCACTGGTAGCTCCCTGCCTCCCCTCCCAAGCCATGTGCTCTAGCTGCTACCACTGTGTCCCCTTTGCTGGTAACAGTGCTCATCTCACAGGTAGGCAGACAGTGGTCCTTGGTTGGGGGTCCCTGCTGGGACAAGGGGACAGGGCCAGTGGAGAGCAGCATGGGCTGGGATGCAGTTGGGTGTCAGGGTGTGGGGTGAGTAGGTGGGCATCTGGGGTGGGGGCAGCAGGGTGCAAAACTAGTTCGCAACCAAGGTGCTGTGGGCCCCTTTCAGGGGTGCTGTAACATCTGCAGCCATGGCCAAGTTTAAATGCCCTGGATGCCTCTCGTGAGCCAGATGGGGAAACAGCTGTGACTGTGACCTCACATGCTCCAGGCAGGGAGGGGCTTTTTCACACCCCTCTGTTTCCAGGCAAAGCATGTGGGCTTGGATCAGGAAGGGCTATGGCAAAAGCCTGTGCTCCAGCCACAGCCCTTGCACTGCTACTAAAAATGTAGCCGGGAGGGATAAAGGAGGAGTAGGATTACCCGCTCTTCCTCTGCCCCTGCTGTGCAGCAGCGGGCATTTGTGCCTGAAAACTTGCAAAGAACAATTTTTCCAACTATTTAGTTTGTCTGATAAAAGATACCATATCTACCCAAAGAACCTTTTCTGCCTGTGTCCTTAAATCAACACAGCAACACTCAACAGCCCTAAAGCCAAATTAAGGCTTTTACAGCCCCAATCTGTAAGAAGGTTAAGGCAGTAGACAATGAACGAGGGTGAGACTATGCCCAGCTCCCCCACCCATCTTCTCCTATGCTCAGCCCAACCCCCTTCCCACTCCTTCACCCGTCCCCCCTTCCTTGCCCAAGACACCAAAATAACTGGATAGGCATCTGAGATATATTGGGTTACTCCTTGGGCTCATCTACATGTGTTATTAATACAAAGCAATAAACTCTGGTGCTTATTGCACTGGGACTGGGAAGGGGGAGTTAATTGCTCCCAAATGTGCCATTTGAACATGTGCCTGGGGCCCTGGGGGTCAGTCTGCTAGCCTGGGGTGGCTTCTGCCCAGCTCCATGTGCTGCAGAGGGACTGACTGGGGCACAAGGGTGTTCCTGTGCAGGGCTAGCCAGCAGGCAACCCCTGCACTGAAGCACCCTCGTGCCCCAGCCAGCTGTGTCAGCATCTACAGGTGCCTTGCTGTGGAGTAAAAAAATCCAGAGAAGGGTAGTTCTTATATTTACTCCTGCCTAATAGCCCTGCACAGGTAGATGTGCTGTGTTTACTGCAAAGCTAATTAGTCTACTTAGTAAATATCTTGTGTAGGTGTTCCCCTTGATTTGGTATTTTAGCAATGCTTCCCTTGAAGTGGTATCAGCCCTGCCAATAGTTTTTAGTTTCTCCCTCCTTTTGTTATATCTGTGACAACAAATGGATACTGGATGAAGTCCTAAACATAAATTCTGATCAAATCTTGCTGAATGAGGCCAGTCGTTCTCAACTGGGATGTCTCAAAATTCAGAACTTATGGAGGGATTGAGCCTGAAAAGGTTGAGTGTCACTGGTATAAAACAATTGCAGCTGTCACATAGGGCTGACAACCCAAGATTTGATTTGATTTTTTACTAAAAGTATGTGTCAGTAGAAAGTTTGCAGATGGTCAGTAAAAAAAAAAATACTTGGGTTGGCAACCTTGCTGAGAGCTAACCAGGGAGCAGTGCTCTGCTGTGCTTGGCACACTACTCGCACATCATATAAAAGCAAAGCCCTTGCCCCAACTAGAGTTGACACCTATGAAGAAGCAATAGGTGGAGATAGGCAGGCAGGGGAAAGAATAAGGTGGCAGTGGAATGAGAAGAACAGGTACAAGTACAAGTCAGATTGATGAGTGGGGTCTTTCGTTACAAGTGTAGAGCCCGTCTTCCCTGGGTGCACTGTATAGCAATGTAGCCCATGCTTTTACTACATCTTCTATCCAGAGGTATCCCAGCGCTTTCCAAACATAGCCAGCCCCTGGGGGGGAGGTGTTAGCTGAAGTTTTGAAGGGGAAATTCTCAAGCTACAATTTATTAAATAATTCACTATCCTGTGGGTAGAAAGGTGTTATGGCCCAGATGCTTCATCTGATTTCAGTTCCCTTTGAAGGCATGGGTCTACATGAATGGACACTGTTCTTCTCTCACAGCTGAGGAGGTGACAAAGAGTAACATCATTAATGACAACCAGTCATCAAGGTGATTCCATAATTAAACTGTGTCTTCCTTGCACAGCTGTCACACCATGATGAGGAAAGATCATAGCTCATCTGTAATGACAGTAAAGCAAACTGACATGGATGAAAGGACAGATGGACCAAAAGTATCTCACTAAGTAGGCCCTAATTACCCCAAAGCACCAGATAGACCAGTGCTTAGGATTGTCTCTGTAGCGACACGGGTAGACTATGAGAGCAGGAAACAGAAAGCCTAGAAAGAATGACAGTAAAAAGGGATGGAGCATTGTAGCCATGAAGAAGGGCACTTTGTGTCTGAAAGCTTCTCCAGCATCGCTTCCAGTCAGTCAGCTGGTCCAGTAAAAGATATGACCAATAAAAGGGGGGCAGTGTGGTCATAATGCACCTTGATGGACTAAACCCTTGCTAACATGCCTGCCTCTAAGCCTTTTAAGTCTTACTGAAGCCAGGGGTTACTCCAATGCATAAAGAGCCTGAAGGAGCCAAATTGTACTGTTGCTGTTTCCTCCGTATATAGCCCTTGAACCCAAGCCAGGCGGGAGGTATCACCTGCTCCATTCTGATCTGTAAGAAGGTGAGGAGTCATTTTGGTACTAATGAGATGCACAAAAGCAAGGTGAGGCTACCTGGGTGTAGAACAGAACCAGGCTTTCGGTGTGTCATTTCTTTAACCGGTGCGTTGACACGATCTTTCTAGTATCACTTCCTGGCTCCAGATGAGTTAATCTGGTTTGCCTTGGGGGAGGACATAGTTCCAGCACTCGGCTGAAGCTCTCTTTGAAGTTGGTGGGAGCTGCAGGGCCTTAATCTCTCTAGAAAACCAGACCTTGGATATCTTGAGATTGGCACCAAAAACAAAGCTCACAAGACCACTCTTTGAAAATGGGGCTGTTAACTACTTTGTGCCTCAATTTATCTATTAGTACAGGGATGCTCAACGCCTGGGCTGCGGGCCAAATGCAACCCCAGGACCAATGGCATCCAGCCTGCAGGGCTCTCCATTGGTCAGGAAATTTGGTGATGGGGGAGCAGTAGCAATTAACAAAGCCACTCCTCCCCCAGTGCCAAGGACCTGCAGGGCCAGATCAGGGCTGGGCCAGGCCCGAATGAACGGATAAGCGGAAAAGCCAAAAATGAAGCATCTCCATTCTATGGAAGTTGGCAAGGACTCCTCCAAGTGCCTCAAAGTTAGCATGTCTAGTACCTCCTGTGAAGATACTGAGGCTGTTTAGTAACTTAGCAATGGCAAATAAAATGAATGAAATAGCTTCGCTTTGGGTATCTGTGAAGCCTGGACCTTGCCAGACAGATCTGCACACATTGCTGAGCTGATTCTTCTGGCTTGAGTTGGGAATTTTCTGTTTAACATTTCACCTAGTATCTGCAGTGTTAGATGTAACTAGCTGAAATGTGGGGGCAGAGAAGGGAAAAGTCAGATTGATGGAGGAAGCATTTTCTTTTGTACTTCATACACAGTATTTTTTATTTGCAGGGGGGGACAAAAGATAAATTTTTAGGCTCACTATTTTTCCCTTGTCTCAGCCAGAATTAAGTAGATCCCTACTTTTAATATGTGAGAAACATTTGGGAATAAAGCCTCTAGGCTTGGAAATTGCTCCTTGTATAGCTGCCACAGAAAAGAATTGAACAGGGACTGGAGTCTGTGATTCAGGCTGGGGGGAATATGGCTTTAGACACTCTTCTGTCTCCAGCTCCTGTTCCAGCTTGCGCACATTCACATTCTAGGTCACCCATGAAAATGCATTGGATGGTCCCACCCATTTCTGCACAGCTTAAATCTGCCCCACGGCTCGGTACAGCTGTGCCCAGTGGGCAGTCAGAGACAGCCAGGAGCACAACAGGAGGAAGCGGTGCGGGTCAGGATGGGGACAGTGCAGGATCTGAAGGCTTCACATGAACAGGTGGCCTCTGTTCCCCTTCCCGCCAGCTCAAGGCAGGCCTCACTTAGAATCAACAGCATTGCCAGCCCCGCATTCAACAATGGCAAGAGTATCTTGAAAACCAGGAGATTTTTAATAATACATTTAGGTTTCTTTCTATTTATCTTCTGGGTTTTGATCCATTCAGATTTGTCATTTCCAGCTTTCCTCTACCTCCAGGAGAACAAGGAACTTGCTAGGTTTGATACAGGAAAGCAGCCATTTTTATTTAATCCGTTGAATGCAGGAGCTGGGGCTTTGAACAACAGTAGGCATCAAGATATCGTGTACTAAAACCATGAGAGTTGGCAACACTGGACACATTTACACATGATGCTTTAATGTGCATTAGCCTCAGTTAATGCTCATTAGTGGATGGTGTGGAACTGCTCCCCAGCATATCGGAGTCAGGCCCAAGCTCGTGTTACAAACCTATTCCTGCCAGAAGCTGAAAATCTCCTCTGAACTGGGGAGCAAACCTGAAGGAGTCCAAAAAAGAAGGGGGGACAGAAAACATAAAGCAAGCTGGCTGGATCCTAACGCAGGTGACAATACAAAGCACTCCTTTCTGTCGCACTTGATTGTAAGTGTTTTCATCGCCTATTTTATGCCCTTCCCAGGAGTGATATTGACTGGCACTGAGAAAGGGAACGAACAACATTAAAAAGTTGGCAGCAGCGAGAAGAGCTCATAGCCACACATTCTGCATTGTAACAACAATAATCGAAAAAAGAGCTCAGAGCGCCAGATCCTGATCTCAGCCCACTGAAGTAGCGGGCCCTGATGGGATCCTCCTGCTCTATATACTGGCAGAGCACCCCCAAACACCCACCCACACATGAGTACAAACATAACTGGCAGCAGAGGCCCTATAATGGAAGCAGCAAGGTGGAAATGGTGCCTGCTGAACACAGGGCTGCGCCTGAGCCAGAAAGAGACTCGGTCCTGGGAAAGGGGCTGGCTGGCCAGGAGTTAGGGCCTGGGATGAGCGGAGCTCCCTCGTGTGCCAGGGACAGCACTTAGGGGAATGAGCATAGTGGGAAGCTGAGCTAAGGGTAACTGTGACAGCAGGATGAGGGGCAAGAAGCTCTAGTGAAGTCTGAGGCAGGGTAAAGGCAAAACACCTCCTCCGGTTAACAAAACTTTGGGACGGTCCTGCCCAGGCAGGGGGCTGCATTAGGTGATGACCTCTTCCAACCCAACTTCTCTACAATGATCTAGCACCACAGTCCCTGCAAAGCGATGGGTTTAACTAAACTGGGGGTGTGGTGTCAGAGGACTCCCAGGCACAAGCTGGGACATGGTGACCTGCCTGAAGGGAGCAAGAAAACGTGTGCTCCAGGTGACCCACAGCAATTAAGAGCAGCCTCCAGCTGTTTTGAAGTCCTTCAGTGTTCATTTACTAAGAAGCCAGTTACTTGTTTCAGGGTTTATGGTGCAACTTTGTTTGAAAGATCCTGAGTTTGTTTTCTTGTTCCTTGGGGGCCTGGGCACAAGTTGAACTTTTTGTCTCACTAGGGACCCTGCTACACATTCAAACTAAAGCTCTATAGAAACCAGCTATAGAGTTGTTACACATTTTCAAATGTTGCTTTTATAGCAGGTTGGCTCTTTTTACAGCTAGATAGTGATTTTTATTGCGTAATAATATTTTGCACATGGCTGGGTCTAAATTTTTTGCACAGGTAGCGAGTTAATTGTGTAATATATGCAACATGTAGCGGGGGCTTAAAAGCAATGTCTTCTGGTCACTTCCAAAGGGTTTGGGGGGATTTGAGATGAATGCTGGGTGGCTTTCAACAGGAGAGGAAAGCTGAGCTATGATGCCTTCACAGTGAACAGGTGGGTGAACAGACATCGCTCAACTAGAGCAACCCTGACTACAGGGGGCAAGTGCTTAAAATCTATTAAAAAACATTTGTTTGTTGGAAACTATTGTGGACACCTAGTTTGTATGTGATGACAGTCATGTTAATAACCGCTTACAGCTGAACATGGGGCTCCAAATCAGAAAACATGAGCCCCTGCCTCTCCAGCTGCAAGTCTGTCTTCCCTAGATGCCAGCTGCCCCCCTCCGTGCACCTCCATCATCTACCACGCAGGGAACACATTTCCTGTGCAATGTGCTTCCATTATTCTTCTTAGCAGGGGAGCTGACAGTCCTTTTAGGTGGGGACAGTGGAAAGCGAGGGTACCCACCAACTGGGAGAGAGATTTTGGTGCCATAAACTGAATGAGCACTGCCTTTTCTGAGGATCCATGTGGGCTTACAGTGGGAAGCTGGCATTCCTGATTAAGAAAGCAGGAGTGCTAGTGTGTGATTTTTGTGTGCAAGTCTTGTGATACCTGGTGTTTATTTCTTGTTCCCAGCTCCAGGAGTCAGGTGCCTAGCTGAGAATCTCGGCTTTCAGCTTAGACCAGTGGTAGGCAATGTATTTTGGCTGGAGTGCTGAAACCCCTCCCCTCCCCTCCCATGCATACCTTGGAAGGTGCCAGAGTGCCGGCACATCAGAAGAATAAACCGAGGGCAGGGGGTACGTGGCAGGATGCCTTGCTTGTGCCCCTGCCCCCCAGCCCTGCTGCCCCTTGCCCCACACCCAAATCCCCTGCCCGCAGCCCTGCTCATGACCCTTGCCTCCCACCCAAAGCCCCTGCCCCCCAGCCCTGCTGCCTCTGTCCCCCAGCCCGCGCTCTGTGGCTGTCAGCAGCTACCCAGAACCTAGGCCAGCTGCAAACATCTGCTGCCTCTCCACCCTGGCCCCAGCTGCCTCCCAGCCCCAAACCTGGCCCTGGGCTCTGGGGAGGCAGCACATACCCCCCGCCCTCGTTTTGTTCTTCTGACGTGCCGGCACTCTGGCACCTTCCAACGTAGGCATTGTGGGGGTTTTCAGCGCTCCGGCCAAAATACATTGCCTACCCCTGGTCTAAGCTGAAAGCCGAGATTCTCAACCAGGCACCTGACTCCTGGAGCTGGGAACAAGAAATAAACACCAGATATCACAAGACTTGCCCCCGCTGTGCTGCCCTCACCATTTCTGCAAAGCAGCGCTGCAGCCCAGCATGGCAGGGCACAGTGTGGGGCGCAGAAAGCTGCCTGCTCCCAGCTCCCCACTGCCCTGCCACGCTTCCCCTGCAGGCGCGGGCAGCAGTGTGGGCAGCAGCTCAGGGCAGCACTGACAGATGTGCAGTTCACTGCTGTAACTCATGGCACTTCACAGAAAGCCCCATGAGTTACAGAGACCCCCTCCCACAACCGGACAGACACTTGCTGTTTTAGAGGTTGGGGGAGAGGAAGATCTAGCTCCACTTTGGAGCTGATCCACCTGAGGGAGGCGAGGGAGGCCATCTGTCTGTATCTCCCCTAGCCCTTCCTCACCCCCAGCTCCATGCTGTCTTCAGGTTGTGTGGGGGGGAAGGAAGGGGAGGGAGCTCCATCTGGGGTTTGCCCAGGCTGTACTAAAAGGCGGGAATGAGTGGATTGGAGCCCCCCCACCTCAGAGGGGGCTCCGATCCATCTCCCCCACCATTGCCCTCCAGCGCAGACTGGGCAAACCACAGACAGAGCTCCCTCCCCTCCTCTCCCCACACCCCCATTTGAAGACAGCACTGATGAGCACAGCCCTGCTCCCACACAGGGAAAAACAGAAATTAATGAAGGCACTCCACTTTGCAGCACCTTCATCTGAACCTTCATTAAATGAAGGTTAATTTGTCCTGTGATTGGGCACATCTAAAGCACTCTGTAGCTGTGCACTTCTGTCAGGGCACAGCTGTAGAAGGGGCAGATCAAGTGACAAACAACTTCTGTCTGCGCCTTCAGATACTGAGATGGCTAACTTTGTAGGGCTGGGAGGCGGCCTGCTGTTGGTGCTTCCAAAGTTTCAGGCTGGCTTGGTGGGAGGGGTCATGGATCTAGTCTCTGTGAAGGAATCGGGGGCAGAGAAGCTGCTGTCCTGGAGGCTCATACACTCCTTGACTTCAGCTGTCCTGTGTTAAACATGGAAGCCGGACCACCATCCACAACCATCTCTGGTGCCACAGGGCCGAGCTGTGCGTTTCTCCTTGTTCTTAGCCTACCTGAATGCACGTGAATGAGCACTGGAAATACCATCTCCAAGGGAGAAGACAGCTGTGAGATGGTTTTTGATCCAGGTAGTTTTACTTACCTGGCAGGGGAGATGCCCTTCTTGTCAATATTGAATGACTTGGTATAGTTAGAGGGTGAAGGCCTGTCCCTTGCACTGTGGGAAGGCACCCCTGTGAGAGTCTACAAATGCCTCCAATGCAAGGATCTCAGCTACCCAATTTATGGCAATAGGGGATTGCTTTCAGGATTTCCCTCTAGCTTACTCCTTTGGCCTTTTGACTAGGGGCAAGAAGACTAGGGACATCTGAACTCCAAGGCCTCCCAGATTGGGGTTTGCACATGGGATGCCTCCCATGGATTTGGGAGTATCTGAATCTGAAGAGTCTTGGTGGGAGGATATTTGCCGGCAGCAGCAGCACAAAAACTTGAACGACTGAGCTCTGCTGAGTCAATAGCATTTGGAAGGGATTTGGCTGACTTGTCCTGAGACACAAAATTAAAAAAACAAAAAAAAGCAGGCGGGTGTAACAGCTGAAAATGATGTCTGTGTGATAAAAGTGCTTGCTGAAGGCTCTGTGAAGAGTAGACCAAGTGTTTTTCTGTCATTTGATCAGACATTAACAATCTGGGGACCAAGCTTACTGGGACTTAATGTACTAAGAGGACAGCAGTTTGCCCTTGAGCGAGAGAATTGGCAGTTTGGGTGCGCAGTGCCTCACCAGAAACCTGAGGAAATAGCTATAACGGCTGTAACTCGACGTAGCATGATCCCACTAACTCTGCCTCCCATGAAAGGAGTACACAGACCCCAGTATTGAACTCCCCCAGAGGCCACTCAACCTATCCAGTGTATTATCAGCCAGCAGTTGAAGGACAGGACTATTATCCAAACCCACTCTCTGTATAACAATCCAGCGTGGCCAGTGCATAAGCCAAATGGAGGGTGGCAGCTGACTATTAACTTTTGAGCTTTAAATGCTAATACTGACCCCTTGATGGCTGCCGTCCCGTCACTACCAGCCTTGACAGAAAGCGCCCGGTGTTATAAGCCTGCATGGATAGGATCCATTAATATCAAAGACATGTTGCGACAGTGCGTGTTTGTAGCTGTAGAAATTGTCACAGGAATAACATTTGCCAGCGCCTCAGCGAGAGCTACAGCCCAGGACACTTGTGCAGCACTGGAAACTCTGCCAGCTGTGTATCCACCACCCATAGAACTACAGAGCAATAATGGCCCTCACTTCCACAACCACCTTGTGTATGGCTGGACCACAAAACAGCATGTTATGAACATATCACATCCCATACCATCCGCGGTCTAATGGATTGGTAGAGCGAACCAATGGCATCCTCAAAGGCAATTTGCAGTTAGCCACTGGACCAGCTCTTAAGGACTGGGACTTGCACCTGGATCGAGCTATAAATTGGGCCAATAACCAACCCCATCTGGGAGGTAGCCCTGTGCAACAAGCCTTTGGATTGGGTGGTCCCCGCGAGCCGGCAGTAGAGTGACCTAGGGGTGGTGACCTGGGAAAGCTCCAGGCAGGAGATTGGGTGGTAGTGAAGTACCCTCAGGGAGATAAATGGGAGGGGACACTATTAGCAAACGGTATGCATAATACATGGTGGGTATTTAAGTCAGATTCATCTAACGGGAGCCAAGGTCCTTGTTGTCTTGTTTCTACAGATTAGATCTGTTCACAAATGCAGCCATAGCCATTCCTAATCGAGCCTGCTACTGAAGACGAGTCCTGCTCTGTCACCAGTCTGAACTGACTGCACCATGAAGTAGTGGACTGTTATAACTGTATTCTTCTTGTTAATGCCTTATTGGATTCCCTGGGTAGGGCATGTCTACTGTCCTTATTACCCAGATATTAATGAACTTGCTCCTGAAGACCTAAAGGAGTGGCCTGACCCTGAAGAGCATCCCCCAGAAACACGCTCAGATGACTTTCATGTGCTCCAGCCACAGTATCCATATTGGAAGAAACCCGCCACCCCAGAGCAAGTGAAATCCTGGTCTCTGAGTAGAAGAAAGAGGATAGTTGACTGGCAAGGTGGTGACTGTCAGTGCACCTGTGGCACCAGTTATTATCTTGGGTACATTCCCTACCTGAAGGCTGAAATGGCTGACTGTGGGAGGGGAGGTGATTGTTGTAGCTCTGCTTGTTTAGGAGTTTGTTGTTGCATACTTCCTGAGGGAAGCCCCATTGAGCTCAACGCCCCCAAGTCTGTTCCCTCAATTGTGCATTCTGTATCTGTTCAGCCTCTCCAGCCACTGCGTTTATGGGAGAATCTGCCCCCTCCCACTCCTATGGCTGACAACACTCTCCAGCGATGGTGTGAAGCCCACCAGGTGGGAGGGCGTGCAGCAGATTGGAACAAAGTTATTACATGGTTTGTGAATCATACCTATACGGAGGCATGGTAGAATGGTACCCATTTTAAAATGACTAGAAGGAGGCTGTATCCACAAGTCTCCACCACTTATCCCCTCCTTTTATACCAGTGGGGTTCCTAAAGTAAATTAGTGCTATGATTCTGCCAGGGCAGTGCTGTTTCATCAACCTGGTACAGCATCGTCCCCATGAGCGACAGTGGGAACTCTTTCGCTCTCTGGGAGGTGAAGCATGGCTACAGGCTCCCAAGGAGGGAAGGGTAAATGTGATCTGTGAAAGAACAGTGTTCACTACTATCTCTGGCTGTTCCCCCATGGGAGGCCCCAACACCACCCATGTATAACTCCACACCCTGGTGGAGGTCACAAGTTAAAATCCCAACCCTCCTAAATGCTTCATTATTCACTGCCCAAGTATTGTTCAGACCAGAACAATGGTATGTCCGAACTACTTTTCCAAACTGTTTGGCAGGAGCTCGTGTAGCCGAAGGGTTACTTAGGTGGGAATGGCCGATCATTTTCTGTTCCACAAATGCAGTGATGTCCCGCAGATGAAGAGATGCTCCAGGTTATCTTTGGGACAGACTTAACTCGGCTATGAATGTATAGAACTTAGATAAATCCCAGAAAAATACTGAAGGAGTAGCCAATCTCCAGCAAGCAGTAGGGCTGCTCACCAGGGGAGGTATGCTGGAAGGGAAAACTTTGGAGCCCGCTGATGTAAGATTAGAGACAGCCCGTCTTGCCCAGACCATGATGGACACTGCTTTTAAAGCGGACAAAAATCAAACTTAGAGTACTGCTTGTGCGCAAGTTCAGTTATCATTAAACATGCATTTTTCCCAGGTAATAAACAACGTTAAGAACAGGAAATGCCCCCCTGGCTTAGAGAATCATGGGATGCCTGCAACATTTAAAGAAAGATACTCCTATCAAAGTACCTGGATTACCACTTGGGAAGGCTATGATAAAGGCAAGTGTTCATTCCTGGTGCAGGGGGTAAAAGATGGAAACTGAAACACTGCTTATTTGCTAAGCATGGGGCTAGGAGGAGGATGCCTTTGAGACTGGAATTTGCGTCGCCCCATATGGGAAATAGTTACCCCCGATGGCCGTCGGTATGTAGCACAATCCCCCTTGGTTCAAATCAGTAACACCTTAATTACATTAGGAACCCTATGGAGAGGATGGCCTCTCAGCCCACCTAACATGACCGGCGTACACAAGCTACCTAATGTGTCATATGTAACAATAGGGCAACGTGCTTGTTAGGACAAACCAAGTCGCTTACTGTATAAAAATGGTACCACCTGGGCTTTGTGCGATTCGTGTTGCTTGGTAGCTAAAAGTGAAGCCATTGCTCTGCTGCAATTATGGAAACTACAGTATTGTCCTAAAATGGCCAGAAATTTCCTCTGAGACTATACCTCTCAACTTT